AACATAAAGGCTTTTAACATGAACAGAGGGATGGAAGAGGTCTCCAATGCTTTTGTCCCATGATGCTTTACACAGCATATTAATCTTTGGAGCCATGTCTGATTCCTGTCTATGGACTATCAATACAATGTGCCATACACCAGGGGTGTTCAAACTTGGCCCTTTTATGACTTGTGCCTGGCTGAGGAATTCTGGGAGTTGAAGTCCACAAGTCATAAAAGGGCCAAGTTTGAAGATCCCCTGCCGTACACCCAAGAAGAACATAACCTGAGGATCCTCGTGTGGTCTCAGGTAGCTTTGCATGGGGTCCCCAGAGACTAGAGTTGAATTTGTAACAGAAGGGAAAATGCATGTCTGTATATAATTTAAACTGATTAAATTTAAATATACATGAAGTGAGATCAGTGTACGTCTATATTATTTCTTGGACTGGAAAAACTTACACAGTTTATATGGCTGCCCATTGTACGTGCCTAACTCTGGGCGTCTAACAACAATTCGCAGTTCACAGGAAAACAAGGTAATAAAACCTCTATAAACAAAACAACGAACACAATTGAAATAATAACACAGCACACTGAGGCATCATATAACCAACTCATAACACAAGCCACACCTATACTAAGCTTGTCTAATTTCCTGGCCTGACATCTGGCGGAAAAAGCATATTACTTTCTGGAAAGTCAAAAGGATCCCAATCTCAGGTTCTCTGGAAGGTCAGGTAGGCCTGGCTCACCCTTCCCCCTACACACACACACACACACACACACACACACACACACAAGCACTGGTTTGCTGTAAATACTGAATGCCCATACCAGTTGCTAACAGGGATATTTTAGAGACCATCCTTCCTAACTTCTCAATGCTTTCTCTCCTCTCCTCTCCTCTCCTCTCCTCTCCTCTCCTCTCCCCTCTCCTCTCCTCTCCTCTCTTCTCTTCTCTTCTTCTCTTCTCTTCTCTTCTCTTCTCTTCTCTTCTCTTCTCTTCTCTTCTCTCTTCTCTTCTCTTCTCTCTTCTCTTCCTCCTTTCCTCTCCTCTCCCTGTACCTCTCCTTTCTCCCTCTCCCTCTCCTCTCTCTGTACCTCCCTCCCCTCTCCTTCTCTCTCTCTCCCTCTCCTCCCCTCCTCTCCTCTCCTCTCCCCCTCTCCCTCTCCTCTCCTCTCTTCTCTTCTCCTCTTCTCTCCCTCTCCTCTTCCTCCTTTCCTCTCCTCTGTACCTCTCCTTCCCCTCCCCTCTCTCCCTCTCCTCTCCTCCCCTCTCCCTTCCCCTTCCCCTTCCCCCTCTCCCTCCCTCTCCTCTCTCTGTACCTCCCTCCCCTCTCCTTCTCTTTCTCTCCCTCTCCTCCCCTCCCCTCCTCTCCTCTCCTCTCCTCTCCCCCTCCCTCTCCTCTCTTCTCTTCTCTTTTCTCTTCTCTTCTCTTCTCTTCTCTTCTCTCTTCTCTTCTCTCCCTCTTCTCTTCCTCCTTTCCTCTCCTCTCCCTGTACCTCTCCTTCCCCTCCCCTCTCTCTCCCTCTCCTCTCCTCCCCTCTCCCTTCCCCTTCCCCTTCCCCCTCTCCCTCTCCCTCTCCTCTCTCTGTACCTCCCTCCCCTCTCCTTCTCTTTCTCTCCCTCTCCTCCCCTCCTCTCCTCTCCTCTCTTCTCTTCTGTTCTCTCTTCTCCTCTTCTCTCCCTCTTCTCTTCCTCCTTTCCTCTCCTCTCCCTGTACCTCTCCTTCCCCTCCCCTCTCTTTCCCTCTCCTCTCCTCCTCTCCCCCCTCTCCCTCTCCCTCTCCTCTCTCTGTACCTCCCTCCCCTCTCCTTCTCTCTCTCTCCCTCTCCTCCCCTCCTCTCCTCTCCCCTCCCCTTCTCCCTCTCCTCTCCCTGCCCTCCCCTCTCCCTCTCCCTCTCCTCTCCTCCTCTCCTCCCCTCTTGATTGGGGGAGGAAAAAGAAATCTGGGATCGCACAGTTATGTTCTGTAACATGACATCTTCTTCCAGTCTATGTAGAACAGTTTTTCTCAACCTTGTGAACTTTAATTCTGGGATTTCAATTCCCAGAATTCCCCAGCTCAGAAGAAGAAATAATGGAGGGGATGTCCCAGTTTCCACTGAAGGCAGAGTGTGTCATGCTGCCAAATACAGGTAGTCCTCAACTTACAACAGTTCGTTTGAAGTTACAATGGCACTGAAAAAAAGTGATTTATAACAGTTTTTCACACTTACAACTGCTGCTGCTTCCTCAGGGTCCCATGATCAAAACTCAGACCCTTGGCAACTGACTCATATTTGTGGCGCTTGCGGTATCCCAAGGTCATGTGATCACCTTTTGCGACCTTCTGACAAGCAAAAGTCCATGGGGAAGCCAGATTCACTTAACAACTGCAGTGATTCACTTAACAACTGTGGCAAGAGAGCTCATAAAATGGGGCAAAATTCACTTAACCAATGAGAAATTCTGGCCTGAATTGTGGTTGTAAGTCGAGAACTTACTAAGAGCCGAGGTGGCGCAGCAGTTAGAGAGCAGTACTGCAGGCCACTTTAGCTGACTGTGTTCAGCAGGTCAGCAGTTCAAATCTCACCGGCTGAAGGTTGACTCAGCCTTCCATCCTTCCGGGGTAGGTAAAATGAGGACCCAGATTGTTGGGGGCAATGTAAATATATATATACATTGCTTACTGGTGTACACCGCTTAGAGAGTGCTTGCACTTAAAGCGGTATATAAGTCTCATAAATAAATAAATAAATAAATAAATAAATAAATAAATAAATAAACTATCTATAGTAGAACTGGCCCAAGGTAGGCCGAAACCTCTACTTGCCTTCCATCTTTTTCTATGCATATCAGAGGAGAAACCTCAGCAAGAATCGCCCCCAAACCTAAAACACTGCTAGTGAAGATGAGTCAAGAGCTGCCTTCCCCAACCCGACTGCCCTCCCCATGTATAGATTTCAATATAGAGAATTCTCCCCAGCTGGGGAATCCTGGGAGTGTCAAAGTTCACTCATCTGGAGGGCAACCAGGTTGAGAAGTCCTGATCAAGAGCTGGATGTGAGCAAAACCAACCCAATCAGCTCTGCCCTGATAGTCTGGGAAGGCAGTGTCTCCGCCAAAGGTAACATCAGGATTACAGACAGTCCTCGGCTAACGACTGTTCATTTAGCGGCCGTTCAAAGTTACAAATGTCACTGAAAAAAGGGAGATAACTGGTCTCCACACAACATGACTGTCGCAGCATCCCCACGGTCAGGTGATCAGAATTTGGGCGCTTAGCAACCAACATGTATTTTACAATGGTTGAAGCATCCTGGTGGGATTCAGCTGGGTCGCACCACTTTGGCAGAACCGGTAGCTAATTTTCAGTTGCTCAGGCCCAGAATGGACTTCCGGAAGTGGCATCCACACAGAGAACCGGTTGTTCCCATATTTGAATCCCACCACTGATCCTGGCCAGCTGGCTTCTGACCAGGCTATGGACGAATCCGGATTCGCTTAATGACCTTGCGATTCTCTTAGCAGCCTCACTGATTCACTTAACAACCGTAGCACAGAATGGTAATAAAATCGGGCTTGACTCACTTAAAAGCTGCCTTGCTTAGCAATGGAAATTCTGGTCCCCACTGTGGCTGTAAGTCAAGGACTACCTATATTGAGAAGAGGATTGCAGGAAGAAAGAGGGGGATTTGGGAAAGGGGTTCAAGGTGTAAGAGGGGGGAAAAAAACGATAAGACGCTCGTTGCAACAGCAGGGGATGCCAAAGAAGGGAGCAGGTTTGGAAGAGCAAAAGTTGGTTGCTTATAACAGAAACCAGGAAGGCCAGAAAACAGAACTAAGGAGCAAAACACTAGAACGGTTTAAGGAGCTCTCGTTCCAAAGAGAAAATGCTATGCTGCTGAATTGCATGCTCTACAGCCTACTTATGAATTCAGAACATAGTACAGTCAGAACAAACAAGAGAGCAGCTGCCAGATGGCTGGGGGAAACACAAGAATTTGACAAGGGAGGGGAGAAGACCTACCTTAGGTGGGGCTTGTCGGTGGTGCCATCAAATGTTCGTAGAACGATATCAGATTACACTGCAGGGTGTAGCCTCAATTCTCATCACTTCTGTTTCTTGGCTGATCAGGGGCAGTTTTACCTGATGGGGAAGTCTGTAGCTGCAACATTTTTTTTTCAGAGGTGTAATTTCACACACACACACACACACACACTCTCTCTCTCAACCTTGAGCTTGGGGTCTTGCCGTGCCTGATGTCCTCCAGACAGCAACTCCCATCACTCAGAAACCACAGTGATTGAGGAAAACGACTCTGTAGCATCTCATTCATGACTTCCAAGTGAAAAAGGGAAGTTCCATCTTGCCAGTTTTCGTTTTTTCCCCTAATCGTTTCTGTTTTCCCTAAACCCAATCGCTAAAAGGGCCGGTGAGATAACGTTCAACAGAAGAATTCTTTCGAAAATAGTTCTTACAACAAATGAAAATGTTGGCAAATCTAGAAATGTTGGGAATTGTCGTTCCCAACACATCCGAAAGGCGCCAAGTAGGGCCAGGAGCTTTGGACACACATTCTTTAATGCTTCAGAACGTATCTCGGGAGCCGCAACATCCAAAGGCACGCGGTTTGCCGTAGAGTTGATGTTGAGCATTTCTTGGCAGAGCAATTGAGATCGGTGCAGGAGACTGGAGCAGACCTGCAAAGCTCTGGGACGCAGGAGGAGGATCAGCTGACCCTCGCAGAGGTCAGAAAACAAAATAAAATGAACCCGAGGCTCTGCACACCCCACCCTGCCCACAGCTGTAGCTTATCACACGACGTGATATTTTCTAACAGCAAAACAGACTTGTCTTCTACCCCAGCGGCAGTTCCTGCCTGCCACGTTTTGGCACAAGTCCCTGGAGTGGAAGAACTGGCTGGTTATGCAAGGCTGTTTACCTGTAGCCGGACAGATGCTCCTCCCCAACCTGCGTCTGGTTTCCTCCCTGCCTATATAGTCCAAGGTGTTGAGCTGGCATCAGAACACAGAAGCCAAAGAATGACACAGTCGTGCACCATGGAAGGCAAAGGGCTGGTGGCTGAGCTGCAGAGAGCGGCTATCTGCCCAGCCTGCAGGGGTCACTTTAAGGACCCAGTGATCCTCGATTGTGACCACAGCTATTGCCGGGCTTGTATCACTCGCTACTGGAATGAGGAGACCGCAAAGGGAAATCAGGTGTTATCTTGCCCCCTGTGCAAGAAAGTCTTTGAGAGGAGGAACCTCCGCACCAATGTGAAGCTGGCTGTCGAAGTCAAGATCACTCAACACCTCAATGCCAAGACAGCCCAGGTACCCCTTGCCCCAAAGTCCAAGCGCCGCCGTGGAGGGTGGAGACCCACAACCAGCATCCAGAAAGAAAAGGTAGGTCATGGGTGAAAGGCTCAGCTGCCCTGGGAATGGTAGCAAAAGGATCTCTGATCATGCACAGTGTGTACTGCATATGCACCTCTCCCCATTAGATTTGGGTTTAGTGTTTGTAAGTTGAATATACAGTGTGGGGTATTCAAGTAAGTGTGTACACCAGAATAATTTTATCTCAAAATTGTACTGAGAAACAGGCTTTTGAGATATATTTGTTAGAATTATATTTCTTCCTCATCATCTTGCTACGATGCCCTGTTGTTATCAAAGTCATACACAATTTCTACTTCAAGCCTTCTCCTTTATGTGGTATGAAGCCAGCCACAGAAATTTAGAGGTTTATATCCCTTTAAACAATGGGAAATTAGACACTAATTTAATTTATGAAGCTTATCTCAGCACCAGGACTCAACGTAGAAAGGAAAATGGGCAAAAAAACTCAAGCAAACCTTTACCTGTTGTCCCGGTACTTGGAGACATCTTCCCAGCCAGATGTTCTCCAGGTATATGTGATCTCATATGCCTGGAAATGATGGAAACTGCAAATCCTATGAAAGCTAGAGGTGATCAGAATTGTATTTCTCACATCTGAAAGCACCAGACTGATAAAAAGCTGGTAAGGGAGGAAAACCTCCAAAAGACATGGATGTGTTCTGCTTGTTGGATTATGTGTGAATGAGATCATAAAATTAGATTCTTGCTAGTATCATGAAGATGTTTGTTATTTCCTCTCATGGAGGCTGATGGAAAAACTGAATTTGTGCTTAAGAACCTACTAAAGAAAACATACATCAAGACAATTATGCATCACTTGATGCTCTCCAGATATGTTAGACCACAATCCCATCGTCTGCTGAGTCAGTGTTGCCCTTTGTAATCCATACATCTGGAAAGTTTCAAGGGAAAGCCAAGGTGGTATTACCATGATGATGACACTTGCTTGAATATAACAAGGCAAAACATTAGTGGATTTACTCATTTGATTGAGCTTACTTTTCCACCAAATTTCAAAATGGCTAACGACCAACCCAGATACAAAATAAAAAGTTGAAAAAACATAAATTAAAGCCCAAGAGAAAATCAATTCACAAAGTAATTGACTATTTGTGGGCCTCACGTGAGGCTGGATTTTTTAAAAAATATTTTAATTGAATAACAAAAATTAAAAACATTGAACATGGTAAATCAGATTTGACATACATCACAGTTCATATTCACAGTTAACTACGAAAATGAACTGTGAAAACTATGTGAGGCTGGATTTGATGATATGATGGGTGGAAATCTGGGTTTGGGTTTCTTTCAATTTCAGTGAATAGGAGACACGGGAAAGGCATGCAATTGGGAACAGAGGGTGGCCTTTCTCTTTTACACCGTATTTTTGCTGAAAATACTCTCCAAGCTGCTCATGAGACTGCACAGACCAGATCAGGTTTTCTTTCTCCAAAGGTTGGGAAAACTGTAGCTTAACACAAGAGCAGTGGTTCTCAACCTTTTTAATGCCGCGACCCCCAACTGGTCGTAAGTCGAGGACTACTCAACCGGCCATAAGTCGAGGACTACTCAACTGGTGCAGCACCGTTTGCAGAATGGGACTTTTGGCGGGCTCAGCAGGGCAGAGACAGCCTGGACAATTCCTATTGGCTTTTGAAAGCCAATAGAATTAGACTCTATTCAAGAGAGTCTATTCTATTGGCTTTCAAAAGCCAATAGAATAAAAGGGAGTAGCACAGCTAAGGAAAAGGGGAAAAAAATGGCGGACTGCGTTGTTTGGCGACCCCCGTGAAATGGTCGTTCGACCCCAAATGGGGTCCCGACCCACAGGTTGAGATCCACTGCACTAGAGCTCCTGCTTTACATGCAGAAGATGTCAGGATGCCTAAGCAAAAGCCAGATCTAGAAGGAATGGAGGAAAATTATTTGGTTTCTTTCTTGGGGTTAGGATGAACTAATGGCAAAGACTATCCTGGGCTTCTTGGAAGAAAAGTAGAGTAGAAATGAACTAAGCAAGTCTCTTTCTTTTAATGAAGGGATAGGCAAACCGATGTCCTCCAGAGGTAATCAACTACTTCAAAATGACTGGAATACCTCAAGTTTCCTATCCTTGTTTCAGGAAGCATGTTTCTCTGTCCGCATTGTGCCTCCTGCATGTTTCATTTTTAGCATGGTTTACATTGTTTCTGCAATGTCTTCAGTAAAGTCATGTCACAATCCTGTGACAATCATGAAGTGATGTGAGCTTTTCAACTGGCTAGTAATTATTCTACCACATTATTCTGCAACATTTTTCACAAATCAGCATTGCCATCTTACCCTGCTGGTGTTGAAGGCACAGGAACACAGTCAAAGCAAGAGGTTAGCAATGCTAGGACTACTTTAGATAGATCACCTAGAAAGAAAATATCCCAACAAGCTGCAAAAGAAATGAGTAGAATAGGCATTTATGGAGCAGTAGTACTAAATATTGTTTAAGACAGATCTTGAACTAGAACTGCAGATATCTGAGAAATGAGGTCTGGCTTATATTTATTCATATGATTGCAATCTGAGATGCGTGCCTCAGTGGGAAAAACTTTTACAATTGTGAAAATAAGAAAGAACAGAGGTCAACAAGGATCGTTGTGGTTAGTGGAAGAAACTGATTAATACCCCAAAGCAGGTAAATAGAAGAGGAATGATTGCCAGAGTAAAAGGGAGAAAATATATTTAAACAATGCTAAATGGACATCTATGTATAGATCCTTCCGGAGTCATGTTCCAGTGTTCTTTCTTCTCTTAATAATATAATATATACATAACATAATGAAGTCAATGCTACAACCACACAAAATTAAAAGAATGATTTACTTTCTTGAACAAGGATATGTATGTGCCCCAGCAAGGATTTATGGATGTGCAAAGTCTGCTCTTAATTCATGTTCCCTGATGTAACCATCTATTTGCATTGGTGATGAGCTTAGTTTGCTTGCCAATCCAGGTTTCATTTACAACATCCTTTCATCTTGATTTCTACTTTGGATTTACTTTTTCCTGAAAGGGAAGCTCTGGCAACCTTCAACTTGCATCGACTGGTTAAAAAGAAGAGGCCACCCGACAAGATAATGACCTTCTTGATCATAAGCTTAATGGCAAAGAAGGCCCATTGGAAAGAGAAAGCCAACTGGCCGTCACCTTGAGTTATAATGGAAGGACCTTGTGCTGCAAGAATTGCCTTCATCTGATTCATCTTCTCCTGACTAAACCAGCCGTATCTTATCTGCTCTATCCACACATCCTTCCTCCCATCTTGCTTCACCTTCTCCTACATGGCAAAGGTGGAGGCTGGAGAAAGAGCTGCTTTGCAGTTCAAGGCAGACTAAGTATCAGGGAAACCTGACGGGAAGGTAGGAGTTGCAAGTTAGGGATGGTGACCTAGCTGAAACTGAGCTGTTTTCCAAAGAGAGTGACTGGATGTTGTCATTGTCTTTCGCACTGCTTAGCCATCCCAGCTCTAGGACTGCCTTTCTGAAGGACCTCTAGGGACAAGCGTCAAGCCAGCTGTCTGGCCCCAGTTTAGCCAACATTTTGGTCATTATTTTATTGATGCATGTAATGATTATTTATTGGTATTTTTTTTGTATGTTTGTGATCTACTTTGTAAGAGTTTCAGTGCTGTGGGACAAGCAGCTCCAAGGTCAGTCTGTTTATTGAGCATTGGAGTCAGTTGTCCCAAGAACCAGTAGGAACTTGCATTTTCTAGAGGAATAATGTCACCCATAGTTCTTTTGCTGAGAACAAAGTATTAAATTAGCCTTGCTTTTGAATATTCATCTTTAAAACTTGAAAACGCAGTACCTTCACATTATTAACAGCTATCCCATGCTTCAGAAACTTAGGGTGTCATAAAAAAACGCATTTTATTCTAGGTTGCCTAGCTAGCTATTCTGTTGGGTAAGAGGATTGCCTCATGCCTGGAAGGAGATTTGAAACCTAGCCTTTAAGTCAGTGGTTCTCAACCTTTTTAATGCCGCGACCCCCAACCCGTCGTAAGTCGAGGACTACTCAACTGGTGCAGCACCATATGCAGAATGGGACTTTTGGCGGGCTCAGCAGGGCAGAGACAGCCTGGACAATTCCTATTGGCTTTCAAAAGCCAATAGAATAAAAGGGAGTAGCACAGCTAAGGAAAAGGGGAGAAAAATGGCGGACTGCGTTGTTTGGCGACCCCCGTGAAATGGTCGTTCGACCCCAAATGGGGTCCCGACCCACAGGTTGAGAACCACTGCTTTAAGTGCTACCTTCTACATCACACTTTATTCTCCATTTCTTGATTAAATAGTTTGTTCTTTCAATCCCCAAGTGAGGATCATGTACAAGTTAACTAAGGCATATAATTTGGAGATATTTAGGGAGAAGAAATCCACTGAAGGTGTTGAGGGTTTTGAGCCTCTTATAGGATTTTATCTTTTTAGTAGGATTGTGTGTCTGGTTATACATTGGGGTTTTCTTCTTGTTTTCCTTGTTTTTTATTATTTTAATGCTGTACACCACCCAATGTTTTGGAGTTGTATGGCCTTCTAAATTGCTTCCTTAATTAATGCACGATAAGGTTCTTAAAATACCAGTTTTGCAGTGAGGTTCTACCATGTGTTTTGCAGCTCTCTGTGGCTAATTTTTTAAAGGGATCCCCTCATCTGTAAACACTGTCCATTACCTGAGCTTGATTCAAAGGAAACTTTCTTTTTATTCCTTTCTAGATCAGGGGTGGACAACAAGTTGCCTTCCAAACATTTAACTCCAAATCTCTCCATTCTAGCAGAAATGGAAATTGTCCATTGCCTAATCCCTGTCCTTAGACCCTGGTTTATAAAGAGGTTCCACAACTTCCTATTGCAATTTTGCTACAAAATAAGTACAAACATCCCAACGGCTAATATTCATAGATGGGGGGGGGGGCATTTGCATATAGAAGCTTCTAGGTGACATCCCTGGAATCTCACATTGAATGAGGTCAGGTAGAA